CCCACAAAGGGTGTTCACAAAAATAATCACTAGTAAGAGAAGAGATAGACAATTGAATTTGATGTATTTAACATTCTGCTGAACAATAGACAAATAAACCTGTAGGTGATCCACAATAATGGAAAGGTTTTAAAACACCATAGATACTATCTCAGTTTAGTATAAAATTACCTAAATTTCTGTAATGATTACTTTAAAAAAAAAAGAGAGAGAGATTTTATTTGTTTATTTGCAAGAGAGAGGGAGTGCAGGTGCCTGAGCAGAGGGAGGGACAGAGGGAGAGGGAGAAAAAAAATCTCAAGCATACTCCCTGCTGAGAGTGGAGTCCAATGTGGGGTTCAATCTCATGACTCTAGATCATGCCCTGAGACAAAATCAAGAGTCCTATGCTTAACGGACTGAGCCACCCAGGCACCCCTGGAATGATTACTTTTGTTTCTAAAAGAAAAGACAATCAAATGTTTCCTTAGAAACAGAAGTACAGTGAACTCAGAAGTAGTTAACCAGCTAAATTGCCACCTTAGGTAGAAGCATCCCCTTCCTTCTTTAACCTGCCTAGGTTGACGTAGCTATAGTTGAAAAGAAAACCACAGGCCCAAAATGGCATCACTGAGGCCAAGTCACCAATTGCAGTTTCAAATGTAAGCCTTAACTAATCAGTCAGAAATTTTTTGATAAACACCAATGAGGTAATCTGTCACAAGAGTCCTCTCCATCCCCCCAAAGATGAGGTAATTCCACCTAATAAGACCCCCTACTTTTCCCCCAAGGGAAGGCGACCTTGCCTGAAACAATCCTTTCCTCTGTTTTGCTAATAATTTCCTTGTCCTACCCTCTCCTATAAAAACCTTCCATATTGTACAAATCATTGGAGTTCCCCTCTACTTGTTAGATGGGACACTGCCTCATTCATGAATACCTTAATAAAGCCAACTAGATCTTCAAACTTACTCAGCTGAATTTTTCTTCTTTAAAATTATGAAATCCCTCTTACCATCCCATTCAAAAATGAGTCTTAGCCCTTCTCTCCCTTGGTAAATTATGAATTCCCCAAGGTCAGGAAACTGTTTTGCCTTATTTATTCCTCACAGTATTTTGTGGGGGTGGAGTAATCTGAAATTTTAAATAGAGTGGATAGGGTAAGCCTCTTTGAGAAGGTGACAGTGAAGCAGAGACTTAAAGGGGATGAGGAAGTTGGCTCTGGTGGCTGTTTGGGGGATGGGGGGGGACTTTCAGGTCTAACTAATACCTCATCTGTTTGTGGAAAGGCAGGTGGCCTGTCATGGCCGAAGCCAAGTGTGCTAGAGGAAGAATAGTAGGAAAGGAGGTCAAAAGATGCGAAAGAGGTCAAGATTTGGGATTTGATCTTATTGAGAGGAGTTATTCAAATTGGATCAAAGATATGAAGTACCTGATGTGCATTTTAAAGGGATTGCAGAGTTGATTTTTGAGAATGAATCAGACTAGGGAGAAGGTCTGACTCATATCTTAAGAGTACCCCTCTGGCAACTCTACTGAGAACAAATTTAGGAAGGACACAAAGGAAGCAGAGAGAACAACTAAGGGGCTATACCTAGAAAGCGAAGGCCAGATGACAGTGGCTGGAACCTAGGCGGTAGTGATGAAGATGCTGAGAATTTGTCAGATCCTGGATCTTGCAGCCTGTGCTCATAGGATTGGGTGTGCAGTATGAGCAAAAAGAAACAAATAAAAAATGGTGCAGGGCTTAGGGCCTGAGTACCTGGAAGGGCAGAGCAGCCCCCTTTACTAAGAAGACTCAAGTGGGAGAATACCAAAAGTGTAGTTCTAGAATTGAGATACTTATTAGAAGCCTAAGTAGATATAACAAGTCAGCAGTTGAATCTATGAGTCTGGGGTTAAAAAATGGAGATAGAAATCTGGGAATCATGAGATGTTTAGAGCCATATGGCTATATGAGATCATCTTGGGACAAAGAACAGATAATGCCTACACTAGATCTAATTATACTTTGGGCCGGAGCAACAATGAGAGGTCACGGTGATGGGGAGGAACCAAAAAAGGAAGCTAAGAAGGACCAGCTGCACAGGAAGGAAACAAGAGGGAGGAGTATACCCAAGGCAAAGCGAAGAAAGTGTTGCAAGAATATGGTCAGTGCAAATTCTCCACATTGCCTTACTAAATACATCCTACTCATCCTTCAGAACGGGACTTTTTTTATTTTTTGATAAGAACCTTTCTGAACAGCCCTGCCTAAATAGATGATCCTCCTCTGCATTGCAAAATCACAGTGCAGGTCTCAATTACAATACTCAAAAATGCTGATAAAAGAACAAAGGAGGTGCTCAATGAACGGCAGAGAAGCATGGATGATAGATAAGGATGGCAGGTACAGTGCACAGGTGGAGCCTGGAATGAAGACCGATGCATCAAGGTACCACGGCTTAATGGCAATGGCTGTGACATTACTCAGCCAACTCCTCTTGCTCTCCTTCCAGGCTCATCAAGCAAAACTACTCAATATAATTTTGTTTCCTTCATACATTTTCCTGGGGAGTTAGAAAGTGACAACAAGCAAACAATAAATATCTATTCCAACTGGTCGCTGTCTTTCTCACTGTGCACAAATAGATTGGTGTTCTGTTTTAAGAAATTAGTCTCAGGTAAGCTTGGTTAGTGTGTTTCTTTTTGGACCTGTGGTAGTGTTCAGTCTGCTTTTCTGTTTTTCAAGTGCCAAAACCATTCTGTGAGATCCAAATGGGGCTGACTGGCAATTGCAAGAGACTATGGTACAGAAAACCAGGACATCCATGCTGTGTGACTGACTGCTAAAGGGAAATACTGATTTGCATTTATTTTGTCTCTTGTCGGCATACAAGAATGGTCAGAGCCGGGATTCTTGTATAATGGATCGAGTAGAGGGTGCTATGCCATGCCTGCAGGAAAAAAAATGATATTTTGTTGTTGTTTCAAATCTGATCCATTTTTTCTGAGTTTGAATTTATTCCCTAAATGGAAAATAGAATCCCAGAGCCACACTAACACATTCCAGGTTGAAATCTCACATTTGTTAGTGGAGCTAGACTTGCTAAACTACATCAATTTGTGATGCTCTGACAAAATAGGGTATGTAGTCCTTTAAAGACCAAAATGTACACTGTGCTGACACAGCTAAGGTAATTTACTTTTAAGGTGCTAATAGGGTTTGGATTTGATCTCCCTCTGGGATACCCACACTACATCTAAATTCAATAGTGTCAAGGAAAATTTTGGATGAAATTATTTGGAAAAATGACACCGAGTAGATAAAACCTGTGCCACAGTTTTCACTTTTAAAAACATGTTGGTGAGTAATCCTTCCTCTCTTTTTTTTGGCATCAAGGAGATGAGAAGAGAATTTACAAGTATATAATTTCTTGTTACTAATCCATCAATCCCTATAAACAAGCTAATAAGCCTTTTGTTTTTTTTTAAGACTTTTGTATTTTTATGTCCTAAATATATCTGAAATCTAAATCCTCTTCATGCCCTCCCCCATGCACGGCAGCCAGAGTCATGCCAGGAGGAGACTGATGCAGCCAAATTAGCTGCGTGTCTGACTTTGGAAACTACCTATCACCTAGAGTTTTCCTTAGAGTAGGGTTGTCTTGAATGGAAAAAAAACCCTCACATTATATTAGAATTTGCTAAGCTCTTTGCATTACCAGGCACTGTTTATTATGCTAACAGCTGCTTTTCAAAGAGTCATTTGGGCAGTATTTAATCCCAGGGTCTGGGATTCTGGTTCTTAACCCTATTGCACTGGCCTTTGGTTCTGGGGTCCTACCTTGCTTTGTTTATGTGATCTCCTTTATTTATAGGAAATAAGAGCAAGGGGAGACTAAGGGGATTTTTTTTAAATATCTAGCAATTTTTTTTATTATGTTATGTTAATCACCCTACATTATATCATTAGTTTTTGATGTAGTGTTCCATGATTCATTGTTTGCGTATAACACCCAGTGCTCCGTTCAATACGTGCCCTCTTTAATACCCATCACCAGGCTAACCCATCCCCCCATCCCCC